ACTGTATTATTCCCATTTCAAATATGAGGAAGCTGATAGGGAGCGGCAGAGAGGGCAGAGGGACTTTCCCAGAGGCCCACAGCTGGTGAGTGTAAAACCAGCCAGATCAGTCAGTCCCCTGAAGTCTCTGTTTCCCAGTAAGATCCAAAGCTAAAGGGAGGTAAAATTGGTGTCCTTGCCCAGCGAGGAGGGTTTACTGATTGAAGCAAAACTAGGAGGCAGGCTCATCTGGCTGTGAGAGCTCTGTTTAGTCTGGGCTGGTGGTGCGCTGGTCTTTCCAAGTTTCTTCGCCTACCCACTCCCCACTTCTGGTGAGGTCTCCATGAGGTCTGTGAAGTGTACATCCTGCAATGTATTCACTTACAGTGTACTGTCGTTTGGTGTGGGCTCTTCAGGGCTGGTTTGGAGAGGGAGAAACCAATAGTATAACTGTTTTGATACTGAATTTTGACCATAAGGATCTCTTTGAAATAAAAAAGTGCCCCCCCCCCAAAAGTAAGGGATGGACCTTCAGCATAAGTTCTTTATTACTGTAGAAACCATAGCCGAGTTAGCCACATCTCAAACCACCAAAGCATGTGTGTTATGTGCATTGCTGATGCAAGAAATTATCACAAACATAGTGACTTAACACAAATTTATTATCTTAACAGTTGTGTAGATTAGGAGTCTAACATGGGTCTCAGTGGGGTTTAAAAAAAGAGTCTGAGCAGCTGCATTCCATTCGCAGGCTTCGACTTTGCCCTTGGCCACCAACATTCTTGGCTCCTGGCCCTCATCAACCTTCAGAGCCAGCAATAGTGGAATGAGTCTGAATTACATTTCATCACTGTGACACTGACACTTCTACCTTCCTCCACCACATGAAAGGACTCTTCAGATGGCATTTCTCCTACCCAGTTAATCCAGAATAATCTTTCTATTTTATGGTAGACAAGTAAGGCAACATATTTGCAGGTTCTAGAGGTTAACATGTGGACCTCTTGGGGCAGCAATCCCAATCATGAAGACTATGCTCATGAAATCCACGCATAATTTTTTTGAAATAAATATATATCTTTCATGAACCTTTTGAAGTATCCTGGCAGGTAGGCAGGCCTTGAAGAAGCATTTCTTTTATTTCATTATTTTTTTAAGATTTATTTTAATTTATTTGAAAGGCAGAATGACAGAGGCAGAGACAAAGAGATCTTCCATCCATTGGTTCACTCCCCAAATAGCCATGATGGTTTTGGCTGGACCAGGTCAAAGCCAGGAGGCAGGAACTCCATTCTGGTTTCCCACGTGGCTGCAGGGGTCCAAGTACTTGGACCATGTTCTGCTGCTTTCCCAGGCACATTAGCAGAGAGCTGGATCAGAAGCAGAGTATCTGGGACTTTAACATTCTGACACAAGATACAGCTTCACAAGTAGCAGCTTAACGCATTGTGCCACAGTGCCAGCCCAGAGAGGCACTTCATACCTGCACCTTTCTGGTATCTTCACAGGATATGCTGGCCCAGTATTTTGAGGATTTTGAAGCTGTCACTGCCTTCCTAGGGCCACCCTCTTCACTTCCCTCATACAAGGTTGAATGCTCTGAGGTCCTAGCCTGGTGCCTATTACCAGTTCTGTCTTAGTCTAGACCCCACTTCTGAGCTGCTGTAGGTTATCTAGAATACCTGGGTGACTTAATCCTCTTCTGTATCTTTAATCCTCTTCTGTATCTTCATACATGGTCAGGCAAACACTGTATTTGATGATTAGAAAATGGAGAATCAGAAAGATATGCAATTTGCTATAAGTCATAGAGCCAGAGATTAGGGAGCTTTGTTTTAAGACGTTCCACTTAAGAGGGGGAAGTATGCCTGTAGTCAGCAATGGGCATTTGGCCTAGTGGTTAAGGTACCCGGATTTGATTCCTGGCTCCAGCTCCTGATTCCCGTTCCTTGCCCGCTTAGACCCCGGGAGGCAGCATTGATGGCTTAGTAGCTGGGTCCCTGCCACCCATTTAGGAGACCTGGATTAAGTCCTGGTTCCTGGCTTTGGAGCCAGGAGGAGGCTGTTGTGAACATTTTGGACATGAACTAGTGGATGTGAGTGCTCACATACTGTCGCTCCCCCACTCGCGGAGGAACGACACCGGACGCTGTTTTCTTTCCCCAGTCCTTCCTGGATTTGCTGCCGCTCCCCCGCCTCCGCGGAGGAGCGGCACCGGGGAGCTCTCCAACCGGCTCTCTCCCCCTTTTATAGTCCTCTCCCACCAATCCACGCTCTGCTGCCCGTGTGCTGAGCACGACACTTTCCTCCAAATAGGGGTTGGGTCAGGAATCAGCTAATTAATGAAGCAGCTTTGTAAGATGTGTTTACTCTCTCTCAGCGCCATGTTGTGGGAGATCAGATGCATAGAGCTAGTTTCAGTCCACAGTCTCAGTACCTGTCTCCCGGGCGCCCCGACATGTTGCGGGAGACGGACCCTGCTCCCCACAATATACTGTCCCTTTCTCTGTGCATCTTGAATAAATTTCAAAAATTTTAGTCAATAAATACCTTGTGTATATAATGTAACATAAAGCTTAATATAATGTTTTCTATGTTTTAAAGTAAAAAAAATTCAAAAACAAAGGAAGGAGTACCAAGGCAAAGGGATGGAGATGGAGGAGAGAGGGACAAAGACAGATAATTGGAGGTGTTACTGCCTGGATTTTTGTTGTGGTATAACCGCTGGAGATTTTTTTGTGGCCTTACTTTTGTAATCACAATTGTAACCGGGCTGTTGCTAATACTTGAGTCATGGAAAGCTGAAACCAAGTCAGCGCTGGGGTTAAGCACGTGGCACCATTTTATTGGTCAGTCTTTCAAAAAGAGAAAAGCCTCTGTTTATACCAACCCTAACAGTCATTTGACCTGTTTTTCAACCCAGCTGGAACTGCTTTGGGGTTAACAGCCTTTTGGAAGAATGTGGCCAGGGTTTTCCTTCCTTGAGTGCTGAGGCCTCATTTCTGAGCTACTGGCTTCTGTGCCAGCTGGTGTCACTGTTTAGTATGTGATGGAGTAGAAGTAGCAGGCTGGTTTTGGTGGTAGGCATGCAGCTGTGTAAGTGGGACCAGTAAAATTTTCCCAGTGCTGTCCCCACTCTCCCACCTCTGGAAGAGAAAATCAGGTTATTTCCTTTCCCCCACTGGTTTTTCCCTGTTCCTTCCCCTTCTCCATTCTGTAGAAAAAGTGCTGCTGAAACATTTCCCTGTTGACTTCTGACGTGTTTCACCCAGCCTCCTGAGCCCTCAGTGGAGTTGCACCTACATCCCCAAGGGGTTTCCTGGGTCACTCATGAATTCACGTATAGAACTCTGTTATGCACATGGAAGTGATTTGTTCTAAAAACTTCCAGCAAGAAAATTCCTGGGTGACTTGGCACTGGATTGATCTTTTTAGCTTTGTGTGTGTGTGAGTGCGTGTGTGTACTGTAAAAAATGTTTTACCAAAAACTTGAACTAAGATACTTTAGAGCTAATCACAGCCCAAAAAGGAGCAAGTAAGACAAGGTGGCAGAGACAGATTCCCAAAACAGATGGGTGCTTTCTTCAGTAGTACAGGGTATGAGGCTGAAGGCAGGAGTTATTCTTAATTTAGAAACATGGCAGTCAAATGCAAGCATCCTTATTTGGACCCTGAAACTAATAAAGCAGCTGTTTTATAAATATATCATTTTAGGCATCAGGGGAATTTACAAATTCCAAGTCAAAGCCTGGGATCTGTAACCATAGAAAAGCTAACCAGTGACAAGTCTGGCAAAATTGTGGAAATTGTTGAATCAAGGTGATGGGCAGAGGAAGTTCACTATACAAGGATTCTTCAAAAAGTCTGAGGCCGGCGCCGCAGCTCACTAGGCTAATCCTCCCCCTGCGGCGCCGGCACCCCGAGTTCTAGTCCCAGTTGAGGCGCTGGATTCTGTCCCGGTTGCTCCTCTTCCAGTCCAACTCTCTGCTGTAGCCCGGGAAGGCAGTGGAGGATAGCCCAAGTGTTTGGGCACTGCACCCACATGGGAGACCAGGAGGAGGCACCTGGCTCCTGGCTTCAGATTGGCGCAGTACGGTGGCTGTAGCGACCATTTTGGGGGTAAACCAACAGAAGGAAGACCTTTTTCTCTGTCTCTCTCACTGTCTAACTCTGCCTGTCCAAAAAAAAAAAAAAGTCTGAGGAAGATGGAATTCAATATGTTTACTTGGTGTAACTTGGTAAAAATTTTTTAAAATTGTATATATGTATTCACAGAAAATGCATATAATGAAAAAACTATGCATGGATTTCAGAGTTTTTTGCACTACATAAATTTATTCTTTAATTTGGTTATTCCGTGAGCTTTTTACAGTACCCTGCTATGATCTTCTGGATCTACAGAAAAATTTCCACATTGACTTAAGTGTTTTACCTGGCCTCCCTGAGCCCACAGTTGAGTTCTACTACAATCCCAACTGGTTAACCTGCCACAGCTGCCAGACCACTGACACTTTAATCCTGTTGAGTAGCATGATGCCACCAGCCCAAAGCCAGAAAAGCCTAATGCCATCCTGAAACTGCTTTTTATAAACAGTTGCCTTCAGCTGTCCTGGAGTTGTTGCTCTAGATAAGTTGGTTCCCCAGTCCTCAGAGAACAGAAAGGTGGCCTAAAGAAGCAAACAAGAAGATGACCTTGGGGCAGATGTTTGGCACAGCAGTTAAGATGCCCACATCCTAGATTGGAATACCTGGTTTGAGTTGGAGCTGCTCCACTTTCTATCAGCTTCCTGATAATGTGCACCCCAGGAGATGGCTCAAGCACTTGTGTCCCTGCCACGCGTGTGGTAGACCAGATTGAGAAGTCGGCTTCTGACTTCTGCCTGGCCTGGCCCTGACTGTTGGCAAGTAAACCAGCAGATGGAAGATCTCTTTCCCTCTGTGTGTGTGTGTGTCTGCCTTTCATATAAAGTGAAAATAAATATATTTTTAAAAGCAAACAACCTTTTCACTTTATTTTGCAGGACCATGACAAGGCCTCAGACCTTCTATGATGGAAGTCATTCCTGTGCCAGAGGAGTATGCCATATTCCAATGGCTGAGCCATTTTGCCCCAAAACAAGAGAGGTTTGTAGTCTTTCTGGAAGGTGTGCTAGAAAAAATCACAAGGGGTTTGTGGCAGTTTGAAGGTTAGATTCGTTGGCTGAGCTAGTTGTCCCTCATCACCCCAAGTTCACGGTTTTCTGAAGAATCATTTCCCCTTGCTAGTCATGCTTTTGCCACTCTCATTCATCTAAGCAGAAGCTTCAAAGTTGCAACCTGCTTTAATTTTGCTGTCAGGATGCTTATAATTCAGTGTATAATGGAGTATTAGTCCAGTCTACAAGCTGGAGGGAGCTAGATTACTTAGGATCAGATCCCTGCTCTGTAGCTTCATGGCTGTATATTATTGGACAAATTGTTTAACATCTCTGTACTTCAGTGATGCCTTTTGAATAAAGAAGATGATGATAATGTGTACCTTAAAGAACTGTATTGTGGGGAGCAACTCGGACTAGACTAAGTTACTGGAATTAAGACTTATTCTATGCATCTGCTCTCCCACAATATGGCGCTGGGAGAGAAGAAAACAGCTTCTACACAGCTGCCTCCAGTTCAGCCAATAAACTGTAGGACTTGCTCCTGATTGGAGGAGAGCAGCGTACTCGGCGTGTGGGCAGCCGAGTTGGGATTGGCAGAGGAGGACTATAAAGGAGGAGAGAGACGGCATGCACCAGGAACATCTAAGGGGAACATCTAAGGGAACACCTAAGGGAACACCTGTGCAGCCCCCGAGAGAGCCGGCCGGCGGTGTGCCGCTCCCCTGCGGAAGTGGGGAATGTGGCAGGGGGAACCGCCCTTCCACGGAGGTGGAAGGGACAGTAGCCAACCCGGGAAGAACCAGCAGCAAACCCGGGAAGGGCCGAGCAGACAAAAGAACAGCGCAGGGTCCTGTGTCGTTCCTCCACGAAGAGGGGGAGCGACATAATGGTGCCGTGACTCGGATATGAAGCCTAGGCAGGGCTTAGTGTCGTTCCTTCATGAAGAGGGGGAGCGACATAATGGTGCTGTGACTCGGATAGGAAACCTAGGACGGATAGGAAACTTAGGAGGGAAGAAACGGGAAGAAGTGGGAGAATACCAGAGAGAGAGACTAGCAAACAGCCTAGGGAAAAGCCGGACGAAAAAGGTGCCGGAAGAAGCTATTGAAAGCCTAGGCATAGACTCAGATACGGACTACGGGGGGAAGCTGGGAGAAATCTCTAAGGTCGAAAGCGAAAGTGAAAGCTAGAACAAACAGACTTGGATACGGACTGTGGGGAGAAGCCAGGAGAAATGAGGGAGGAATATTGTTGGAAGAAAACTTAGGGAAATATACCGGGTAGAGAAAAATGTTAGGGAAATTGAAGCCTCAGGGGGCAGGCCGAGGCGGAAACGAAAGCCACTTTGGGATTCTCAAGTTAGCCCGGGAATAAGGGGTGAAAAGTTAAAACCAGAAGCGGAAACGTAAGCCTGGTTGGGATCCGTCTGATTAGCCCGGGGAGCAAAGGACGGGAAGCCAGATCGTGGGGCGGAAACGTGAGCTGGGTTGAATTCGCCAGGTTAGCCCGGGGAACTTAGATTGAATACTAGTGGCGGAGACGTGAGCTGGGGCTGTGTGACTCGCGGAGGCTGCCGCGCGCAGAGAGAGCATGCGGGGCACAAGTAGATAGGGAACGCTGGGCTAGTGCAAGACCGCGGAGTGTGCGCGCGAAGCCGAGCCGCGCAGAGCCGCGAAGCCGCGCAGATAAGAGAAGCAGGCTGAAGCGGCTCAGCCGGGAAGCCGCCGAGAAGCAGCCTCGGGGCGGGCGCCAGGAAGCCGCGGGGATAAGAGAAACAGAAGTTTAGAAGTAAAATGAGAGAAATAGGAATGTTGGCAGACAGAAGTAAAATGGGAGAAATAGGAATGCCCGGAGATAGAGAAATAGAAAGGCCTCCCCACAATACTGCAATGAGAAGGCTTGGATTCGGTCTGCCTGATTAGTGAGGCGATGAGCACCTGCGGGCGGCTAGCAGCTTATGCGCCGCAGGTCACCGAAGACAGGCACGTTATCAACACCAATAAGTCACCCCACAACATGGCAATGAGAGAGCTTGGATTCGGTCTGCCTGATTAGGGCGGTAAGCACCAACAGGCGGCTCGACCAGAGTATGAGCCGCAGGTCACCGAACACAGGCACGCATCAGCGCCTAAAAACCTCCTCACAGCATGGCGAAGAGAGGACCCGGATTCGGTTTGCCTGATTGATAGGACTTGTAAGAACCTGTGGCAACTCTAGCAAGTAGAGCAGAGTGTGTGCCGCGGGACACCAAAGACAGGCGCGTATCAACGCCAAAAAATAAAAAGAAAGGGGGATCTGTGGGGAGCAACTCGGACTAGACTAAGTTACTGGAATTAAGACTTATTCTATGCATCTGCTCTCCCACAATATGGCGCTGGGAGAGAAGAAAACAGCTTCTACACAGCTGCCTCCAGTTCAGCCAATAAACTGTAGGACTTGCTCCTGATTGGAGGAGAGCAGCGTACTCGGCGTGTGGGCAGCCGAGTTGGGATTGGCAGAGGAGGACTATAAAGGAGGAGAGAGACGGCATGCACCGGGAACATCTAAGGGGAACATCTAAGGGAACACCTAAGGGAACACCTGTGCAGCCCCCGAGAGAGCCGGCCGGCGGTGTGCCGCTCCCCTGCAGAAGTGGAGAATGTGGCAGGGGGAACCGCCCTTCCACGGAGGTGGAAGGGACAGTAGCCAACCCGGGAAGAACCAGCAGCAAACCCGGGAAGGGCCGAGCAGACAAGAACAGCGCGGGGTCCTGTGTCGTTCCTCCACGAAGAGGGGGAGCGACACTGTATGAGGGATAAAAGAGTTAATACTTAAAGTGGTTTGAACCATGTCTGATATGGAACATCCAATGACTGGTCACTGCTTTAATGAATTAAATTATTATTTGACAACCTCAAAATGTTCAGATTGGCTTCTTTTGCCTTTGAGCTGAGTTTGGCCATTACTGTCCAGCCTCTTCTCCTATATTATGGTTAAATCTCAGAATTATGGGGAGCGGGCCCACAAGGTCTGACGGGGCTAAGAGGTATTAAGTCCCAATCTTAGCTCCCAAGGAGTAAAAATGGCCACTGGAAATCAAAGGTCCATTGGTTGGTCCATACATGCTGTGGAGTTTTCCTCATAATAACAGGTTTGAGATGTCAGAATACGCATAAATACCTAAACTTGTTGGTCATTCAGATAATTTTAACATCTACATGTAGAAAGTAGATGATTTCTTTTAACCTTTACATATAGTCCTATGTAATCAGGGGAAATCAGTGTCCTCAAGCTAACACTTTAACCTCATAGTCATCTCAGACAAAAATCTAGACTCCAGAACTGCAGTTTGTAGAGAGCCATTTCAGGCTCTCTTCACCACTGCACATTGATTCTGATTTCGTGAGAGTACACATTTCACTCCTCAAAACGATAGCAAGTTAAGTTTGTATGTGAATATATATAGTGAATATTCCCATATACTTATGGATAGAATGTATCAGGATACTAAGTTTTGCCTCTGAAACACATATCTGTCCAGGTGATAAACATGCTATCCAGGGCAAAATGAAATGTGGATAAAATTCTTCTCTGTTCTAAAATGGGGTCAGCTTGGAAAGAAATAGACTAAGGAGAGAATATACACATCAGCATGTAATTGAGATCTGGTGCTGGGTGGAGTACAGAGACTTAGGGGACTAGAAGCAGAGGTGAGTGAGGAAGTGCAGTATCTATACAGAACACATGGTAGTGTGGCCCTGGGGTGTTTCCAATAATATAATTTAGTCTTCCTTGAAACCAAATTAGCATTAGCCAAACAACCCCACATCAAGATAGAAAATGCTGGGAAAGGAAGTTGGAAGCAAATGGACACAATAAGCCTTCAGAATATTACTTTGTTCTTGCACTTTCAGCATCCACATGGTCTTTCAAATGTGCTGATGAGGAAAGCTTGTCAGGGGGCGAGCAACACCCAGCAGTTGTACCATATCCTACCACTTGGGTTAAAGTCTGCCTGGATATAAAGTGAAGAGTATGTAAATGTTTATATGCAAATAGAGTATCCTAGAAAGTAACCAAAAAACTGGTAGTAGTGATTTCCCTGAGGGAGATGAACTGAGCTTTTTTTTTTTTTTTCCCCCAACAAATAACTGAGCAGTAAGGTAAGTGCTGTATCTTTTTTTTTAAGACTTATTTATTTGAAAGGTAGAGTTACAGAGAGAGAGAAGGTGAGACAGAGATTTTTCCATCTGCTGATGCACCCCCCAGATGGCTGCAACTGCCAGGGCTTTCCCAGGCCAATGCCAGGAACTTCTTCCAGGTCCCTCGTGTGGGTGCAGGGGCCCAGGGATTTGGGCCATCTTCTGCTACTTTCCCAGGCACATTTGCAGGGCGCTGGATTGAAAGTGGAGCATCTGGGACCCAAACTGGTGCCCATATGGGATGCTGGCATTGTAGTCTGGCTTAACCTGCAGTGCTACAGTGCTGGCCCCAAAATGAGTTCTTAGCAACAAAGGGGGCAGAAATTCTTCTCCAGAATAATACCCCTTTGCACTATTTTGGTTCTGTGTCATGTATGGATATTAGTTGTTTTAACAGTGGTGTGACATAAAAATGGTGTCACATCTAGTCATTTTAAGAGGTAATGTTAAACTCATGAAAGTCCTGACACATTGCATATATTTAACCTGGTGATCTAATGTTGCTACTCCCTTTGTGAAAATTGTGGTCGGTTCAGTAGTTCCATTGTGATTACTCAAGATAAGGAAATGAAATCATCTTAGCCTCTAAGCTGGTGCTTGACCCTGCAGTTTGTATTTTCAGCCACCTTAAGGTGGTGGTATCCGTTCTCATGGGAGTGCTAAGTGCTGGTTCAGGTGGGAAGGCCCCCAAGGCCTGTTACTAGCAGTCACACACACCCTCAGTCCTCCTCAGCATCACAGCACTGACCTCCCAGGGGAGGACTTCACATTGTCACCCCTGCTGGCACCCAGTGCTGATCTTCCTTCACACATCTCTAGAAGCACCACTGAACTGCAGCCAAGGCAGGCAGCCTGGTTATTCAGTAACTCGGAAGACATTTAATGAAGCAGCATGACTAGGCTGATTATGTCTTAACTGTGGGGAGCAGCAGGGGTGAGAGGACAGAGAAATGGAGATTTGGACTGTATAAACCTGTACTCTTTAGGAAACAGTGTTGATTAAGTTTGATCTTATTGCTATCACTTATAAGGTAAAAATGACATGCATCAACTGTTCATTATCCATAGCTTGTCATGGTTCTAACTTTGCATCCCATGTGGGCGCCAGTTCGAGCCCTGGCTGCTCCAGTTCCAAGCCAGCTCCCTGCTGATGTGCCTGGGAAAGCAGGCCCCTGCACTCAACTGGGGGACCCAGAGGAGACTCCTGGCTCCTGGCTTCGGATTGGCCCAGCTCCAGCCATTGTGGCCTTTTCAGTAGTGAACCAACAGATGAAGAACATCTCTTTCTCTCTCTCTGCCTCTCTGGAACTCTGCCTTTCAAATAAAATAAATAAACCTTTAAAAAAGTTCTTCCCATTTGCCTTGGCATAGTATAACTATTTTTAAGGAAATATTTTAATTTGCTTATTTATGTGGTTAATACATGTGCAGATAAAACTTGGCCTAGATTGGGGCCTTTTCTTGATTTGAGCCACTCATTTTAAATATAGTATCCCAGGAACCTTTGCCAATTACTCTGCAGATATATGTAAAAGCCACCAGTATTAATAATCTTTGGAAGACCAATTTAGCATTTATATAGTGCTTATAGTCCCTGATATAATTCTGTGCTTGAATATACTTGGCTTATTTAATCCTCACAAATATCTGTGTTATCCAGTGTTGTTATTACCATTTTAAAGATAAGAAAACTTGGGACTGGCAAGATGGGGTATCCACTTCCACTCCAGCTTCCTGCTAATGCACCTGGGAAAGCAGCAGAAGGTGGCCTATGTAACTGAGTCCCTGCCACTCATGTTGGACATCCAGATGGAGGTCCAGGCTCCTGTTTAAGGCCTGGCCAGCACTGGCTATTGAGGCCATTTAGGGAGTAAACCAGCACATGAGAGGTCTCTCTCTCTCTTTTTCTCTGCCTCTCTGTGTAACTCTGCCTTTCAAATAAAATAAACAAATCTTTTTTAAAAATGAGAAAATAAGGCATACAGAGGAAACAGACTTTGCAACAGTACCTCAATAAGTTAACAGTTAAGTTGAAAATACTATTTTTAATTAAAAGGGATATTGAAGCGTAGGCTTAGAAAAAAGAAAGGTAATAACTTGGAGATTAGATGTGTAGTATTAATTAAAACACTGGGTAAACTGATCAGACTTTTAAATAATGTTTCTAAAAGACATGGGCTTTCCACTAAAGGATTTCCTAGATGTTTATTACTGGACAGAGAAAATCAGCACAGCCCCAATCGTTTTCATCACATGTCCGTGAAAAAGCAACAGACAGAGGAGAAATCACTTTCTAAACAAAACAAGCTTTTAGATTTTAGAGATGAAAAAAACCAGTACTCATTACCTTCACAGGACCTTGGTAACAGAACTCAGCACACCTCTGATGATCTGAGTGATGGGAGGCACATGAGCTTAGTCTCCTGCAGTGGGCAAGAAGTAAATGAGAGTCCGATGCCTGGTGCGTGGGGAAAGCTCCGCGTTTGCTCTTGTAGCTGTGAGGTAAAGGTGCAAGGGCTGGGAGAGCAGAATCACAAATGGGTAAGGGGCTAGGAAATGCTCTTCTGTAGGTCCTCACTGAGGGACAAGTCACTTAATAATGAAAACTCTCAAGAATTGTTCCACATCAGGAATGAATAAAATATTAAGTTGTACATATGTTTGTGTTTTGAGTTTATGGTTCTTTCTTTTCCAGGTCCTCATAGAGACTGCTAAGAAGCTAGGACTCCGGTGCCACTCAAAGGGGACAATGGTCACAATTGAAGGACCGCGATTTAGCTCCCGGGCAGAAAGCTTCATGTTCCGCACCTGGGGAGCGGATGTTATCAATATGACCACTGTTCCAGAGGTGGTTCTTGCCAAAGAGGCTGGAATTTGCTATGCAAGTATTGCCATGGCAACAGATTATGATTGCTGGAAGGAGCACGAGGAAGCAGTAGGTGGAATTCTGTTTTCAGCATGTAGAGTGGGGGTTTCTGGGTGCCATGAACCATTAAGAGAATGTCTTCACTGTTCTGTTAGTTTCAGAAAGTACCTTTCTATAAGGTTTTAAAGTTAGGTTTATCAGATATTTTCCATAGTTCCCTTTGGAATGTAAGAACAGAGATCTTCATAGGAAAGAAAAAAGTACAATCATCTAAGGATCAACTGTAGACATGTAGATGTTGGGATTCCTATTGAGACCTGGGCCTTATTTCATATATATTTTAATTGTAACTTCCTTGTGCTATGGTACTATTTATTATATTTTGTTTTCAAGGCAAAAAGCTCTCTTCCTGGTAAGTAAAGACTATTTATATCCATTCATTTAACCATCTTGGGATACTGTGCTTGACATAGGAATGTTAACAGACAGACAAGGCCTTATGGGGCCTACATTCTGTTTGAGGAGGTAAAGATTAAGCAGTCTGACATTCCCCTCTCTCCCCTTTCATTCCTTATGTTCTACTTGAAGAAACCAGATCATCTGTTGTGCCATTCATCTGATTTTAAAATAGTGAAAGGGACAGAACCCCAGTTACAGAATTTTAAAGCAAGGAAGAATTTAGGGTAGGCAGCATCGCCAAAGAAGCCCTTACTACCATGCCTGAGAATTGTTTGTTTCACCATCCAATTTCATGTAAAACTTGTTAGATATTCTTGCTGTCTGTCCATGTGTATCGTGATTTGGGTCATGAATGAATACAGTTCTTTTTTTTTTCCATGAGATCTCATCCTAACTTCTCAGTTTTAATAAACTGTTGCTGGATAGTAAGACACCTTTTCTCTGAGATTTGCAAATCCCGCCTTTGTCACAACATAATACCTGGCTCAGCAGCTTCTCGAACCTGAAGAGCAGCTCAGCCTCATGATGTTGACAGTCTGCTTCCAATTAATGGGAAACTCCAGCCCCGCCACTCCCTGAAAGTTGTTTGCTTCCTGCTGGTGGCTTTCTGCTCAGTCTAGAAACATGTCTCCTGCTCTGCAGAACTGCTCATTTTCCTGGTCCAAATGAGATTTGGAAAGCAATCAGAGCTAGTTTATTAAGCAGAGCAGCTATGTTAAGACATAAAGACAAGTAATGTTAAATGTCATAAGGAAGGCACAGATAAAGAGGGCAGCATCTCAGTCAACTACGTGTGTCTTTGTGCTTTAAACCAGACATGCAGCCTGGCGTGGCAGGGTTTTAGAATCGCCTAAACCCACCTTCACATTTGAGTTGCTCCATTTACTTGTGATTGTAGGCCTGTTGACTCTTCTGTAAGATGAAACCATGGATTAGAGGAGGGGCTTGGGTTGTTTAATTGTGATTCTGACCTTGCAAGATTACTGGGAGAATTTAACCAAATGATGGGATTAGGACACTCACAGTGCTGGCTCCTGTGAGGGTGGTCATCCCAGGGTGCTACGATGGAGTTGGAGGAGAGCAGTATTAGGGAAGAGTTTGCAAAGAAGATATATCTTGTGTGATTTGAAGTGGACCTTGAACACAGAGAAAGATATTGTGGTTTGAGATCAACAGTAGGGACAAGGAAAAGAGAGGTCGGGGAGAAAAGGTCAGAGTCTACATAGATTTATCATCCCAGGAAAACTGTAAGGAAATGAGTAAATAAATGTAAGGTAACTGTCTCGGCTGTCTCATCCCTCTGCACTGAGTGACTCAGCGTTCAACCTGCCTTTACATGGCCCTGGCTGAGAGTCAGATGCTCACAGCATTGTGTTCCCACAGCAGTGGAGAACTTCCCTCTCCTGTGGCGCTCATTGTTTTTCCCAGATACATCTCAGTGTTTGTGGGACGGATTTGGACTTCCTAGGGGAGTAGGAAAAAAAGTTTAATTATCTCTGAATCTGCATTAACAGAATATCCACAGATGTGGTAGCTTTGAGGCAATACAAGTTGACTGCATAGTTCTGGAGGTTGGCTGGGAAGTCCAAGATCAAGGTGCTTGTCCATTGACTGTCAAGTGAGGGCCCACTTTCTCAAAGCTGTCTTCTCACTGGAGCCTCAGACAGGGAAGGGGTGGGGTTCTCTCTAGAACCCCTCTTCTGAGGGCCCTAATCCCATTCATGATGAGGTGCTCTGTCTTCAAGATCTGATCACCTCCAAAATGTTCCTTCTCCATGTACCCTCCCCTTGGGGATTGGTGTTAAACACTGATCTGAATTGGGATGAAAGGAAGACACAAATATTCAGACCATGGCTAGGTTGGAACTCAGAAAAATTATCTGAAAAGCAGCAAAACTGTAAATTGCAATAACATCCTGTACTGTTATTTCTCTAGGTTTCAGTGGACCGAGTCTTAAAGACCCTGAAAGAAAATGCCAATAAAGCCAAAAGTTTGCTCCTCACCACCATACCTCAGATAGGGTCCACAGAATGGTCCGAAACCCTCCATAACCTGAAGGTGAGTGCCCCCAGTCCTCTCAAGCAAACACTTCCCTACCCCCTCAGTTGTCTCTCTTACTTGCATTGCAGCCTTGGCCCATCTGCTTAGGTATTTTATGCTAGCCTGGATGCTTTCAGCAAGTTTCCATGCCATTCACTATCCTTCTTTGTAGTTTTTTTTGTTTTTTTTTTTGTTTTTTTTTTTTTTTGACAGGCAGAGTGGACAGTGAGAGAGAGAGAGAAAGGTCTTCCTTTGCCGTTGGTTCACCCTCCAATGGCCGCTGTGGCCGGCGCACCGCGCTGATCCGATGGCAGGAGCCAGGAGCCAGGTGCTTTTCCTGGTCTCCCATGAGGTGCAGGGCCCAAGCACCTGGGCCATCCTCCACTGCACTCCCTGGCCACAGCAGAGAGCTGGCCTGGAAGAGGGGCAACCGGGACAGAATCCGGTACCCTGACCGGGACTAGAACCCGGTGTGCTGGTGCTGCAAGGTGGAGGATTAGCCTACTGAGCCGCGGCGCTGGCCTACCATTCACTATCCTACTTGTGAAATTGAGTCATCATATTTTGCAGCTGGTAATGCAAGAGCAGTAGAAGTTGCAGTGGAGAGACTTTTATTATCCAGTGAACCAGGTTCTTCACATAGTCTTGCTCTGCAGTAAGATAAGCATAATGGGTGAGGTTGTGTGGACAATAACCTAGGCTAGGGTAACTGAAATTGGCTGCTGAGCTCAGAGAGAGGCATGTTTTTGTTTTTTTTTTTTCGGGGGGGGGGCTTTACATTTTGTGACACCTTGATTAACCACATTAGATAAAGAGTTACCTCAAATTGAACAGATTTTACATTCTCCTAGTATCCAGAGAGGAACATATCTTTTTTGAAAAAAGATTCATTTATTTATTTGAAAATAAGTTAAACAGAGAGAGAGGGAGAGGCAAAGAGAGGTTTTCCATCTGCTGGTTCACTCCCCAATTGGCCGAAACGGCTGGAGCTGCGCCGATCCGAAGCCAGGACTTCTTCCAGGTCACCCACGTGGGTTCAGGGGCCCAAGGACTTGGGCCATCTTCTACTGCTTTCCCAGGTCATAGCAGAGAGCTGGATCAGAAGTGGAGCACTAGGACTCAAACCGGCGCCCATATAGGATGCCGGCACTGCAGGCAGTGGCTTTACTTGCCATGCCCCAGGAGCGTATCTTGATGTGTCCAGAATACAACCTGTACACTTAAGTCTCATGGCAGTAGTTGAATTAGGACTTAGATTGATTTAAAGCATTCTCTACCTGAATTACCACCTAGGAGCGCTGGAATTTTAGTGTGATGAGGACAAGTGATGATAAGTGATTGATACCACTAGTGTGGCAGAGTCATGACTTAATGTTTGCTGATTAACATGGCATAAACGCCACCAGCAGGAAGCCACTTGTAAGTCGGGAAGTGACTTACAAATGGCTCTTGCAAGCTGGTATAAGCAGATTCTAGCACACAACTCCAACTAGGATGTCTCAGCCTTTAGGAGTGACAAAGTACAGGAAGCCCTGTTTAATAGTAATATAACTAGGAAGAAAAGAGAAATGAACTCTGAGAATTAGGGAATATCAGTTTAAATTAGAAACAGGTGGCTGTTTTGTTCCATTGTAAAAGCAGTTACTTTGAGCTGCTGATAATGAGTACAAAGCAGTAAGCAGCACGGCTTTAGCATTAAGTCACATGTGGGTTTGCAGGAAATGTGACTCACTTTTGCTGCTGCTGAGCTAGTGTTACCTCCAAGAAGTGATAGAGGTTTTTTGTTGTTGTTGTTTTATGTCTCCCAACTGACCGTAGTCTCTTGAACGTGAATCTCTCAAGCAATTTCAGCTTCATTTCAAATAAAAGCATAGATGGCTTCATTTTAAGTAAAATAGCATGGATGGTAGACTCCAGTGTTCTCCTTTTCTTTCCTGAAGTCTCTGAAATTGTGTATGAAAGTGTGTGGCTTTGCATGTTTGGAGTTTTAAAGAGGTTAATATGTATAGGATTTTCAAAGGGGGATAGAAGATCTAAGGGAGAAAATGAAGAATTGCTGCACTTGACACACTTGAGAATTGTGTTCACTGTTGTATAGCATTAGGGATCACTGTCCTGAGAACCTCTTACTCTGCACTAAGCATTTTCCGTCTTCTAAATATGGAAGTGTATGGCATTCACTCATGCACTAATTAATTAGTGCAGAAACATTTAGTGAGCGCCTAGTGTGTGTCAAGCTGTGGTTTTATAAAGGTACATAAAGACTGCTTGTGATGAAGAAGATCCTATTTTGTTTGGAGCTGCAGACATTTTAAAATTCCAGTGTTTTCTATAATGCAAGAAGGATAAGAGATGGAGGTTGTATAAACAATAATCCAGGCTGGGGGTCAGCATATAAAGCGTTGCTTATGGGTGAAAGTAGTGATTCTCAGAACAAGTCTCTGTGATCAGCAGATCAGCACTCCTTTTATTTAAAAAAAAAAAAAAAAGAATCATTATTTGAAAGGCAGAGTTACAGAGAGAGAGGGAGAAACAGAAATCTTCCTATGTCTCCCCAGATAGCTGCAACAGCCCGGGTTGTGCCAGGCTGAAGCCAGGAGCTTCACATAGGTCTCCCATGTAGATGACAGAGGCCCAAACACTTGGGCCATCTTCTACTGCTTTTCACAGGCAATTAGCAGGAGCTGGGTTAGAAGTGGAGCAGTCAGGACAGGAACTGGGCTGGTGCCTGTATGGGATGCTGTCACAGGCGACGGCTTTATCCACTACACCAGAATGCCAGCCCCGTGATCAGCATTCTTCATTTCACAGGAGAGGGCAGTGAGGAACCAAGAGTGAAGAGTTGTACCTAAAGCCCTACATCCACACAGTGATTTATGAATGTTGGTGAATTTGAGAACTATCTGGAGGATTTCTTGAAAGTGTGTAGCCAAGGGCCAATGCTGTGGCATAGTAAGCTAACCTCCACCTGCAGTACTGGCATTCCATTTGGGTGCCAGTTTGTGTCCCAGCTGCTCTTTTTCCAATCCAGCTCTTTGCTGTGGCCTGGAAAAGCAGTAGAAGATGGCCCAAGTGCCTGGGCTCTTGTACCTGCATGGGAGACCTGGAAGAAGCACCAGGGCTCCAGGCTTCAGATTGGCTCAGCTTCGACCATTGCAGCCATTTGAGTAGTGAGCCAGCAGATGGAAGACCTCTGTCTGTAACTCTGCCTCTCAAATAAATAACTAAAATCTTTAAATAAAAAAAAAAAGAAAGTAGGTGTGTGTCCAGTGAATCCATAAAACAAAATTCTGTTTTGTTTTTGTTTTTAATCTGGTCTTAAACAGGATCTCCAGGTAATTAGCCTATAGTACTTGTCATCTGTACCTCCTTTTTTCTTTTCAGAATATGGCCCAGTTTTCTGTTTTATTACCAAGACATTAAAATAGCACGCTGCCTAGAAAAAAGGTGACTTTCTAGTTCCTGTCGTCGTGGAAATTGCTGCTTCACTTGGGAAAAAAAAATTCCTGAGAAAGACATGCAGCTTTCATGCACTTGCCTGGGAGAGAAAAACACGTGTAGGAAAGAGAGTACACTGCAGATGCTCAAGACTCCTCCTGGAAGACCTGGACTACTGCAAAACATGGGAGCAAAAGCAAGTGCCCCGTCCACATGTGGGTAAAAATCGTACATTTTAGAATTAAACAAGATATTATTCTTCCCTCCGCCTATTAAATTTGCCGCAGTAAAGGCCGGGAAGTAATAACTGGTTTCCTATGTTGCCAAAGACGGTGAAGAAGAAATGGGACTCTGGCTACTTATTGATGTGACTGTAAATTGGTGCAATCTTTGGAGGGCAGTTTGGTAAAATGTATCAACAGGCTCAAAAATATATAAGCATTTTATTTTGTGCATTCTCTTAGGAATTTCTCTTTGAGAAATTATCATATACATATATAAAAAAGAATTTTAATAGGATTAGTGATAGCAGATTTTCAAAACAATATGAATATCCAGCAGTTGGAGATAAGTTGTGGTTTAACTGTGAAGCAGTCAACTGAAAATCATGTTTTCACATAATATTTGATATCTAAAAGAAATGACCATTCTATAATATAAAGTGAAAAACTATGTAAGCATTTTACAGTACTTGTTTTAAAATGCCATGTTAATGTACAGAAAGACTAGAAGTATACAAAATCTTTTATTGTATTTGGGGGAGGAGATACTGGGTAATTTTTATTTTCTTTGAATCTTTCTGTATCCTCACGGTTTCCTACAATGAGTATAATCAAATAATAAAGTTGTAAAAAATAAAAATGCACTTAGTCCAATTCTTAAAAACATTGTTGATGATAATAAAGTGAAATTTAAGATGGTAACATTAAGAGGAGCGTTGTTTCAGGAAGTTACATCTATTCTTTTCAAAAAAGAGGATCACTGATGACTCTACAGTAAGAACAATACTGGGGCTTGCAACAGCTTCCTGAGAAAGCTGTGTGTTTACTACTGAGGTCTATAAGGTAAAAGTATTTAAAAGATTAAATATACACCTAGTGTATCAGATATTTTTTAAATTATTTGATTCTGTTTCTACTCCTTTTTATGTGTTGATGCATTATTTTACATGAGTTGGCAATTTTTGTTTCTTAATAAAAAAGTGGAAGCTTGCCTCTTATTTTTTTCATTGTTAATTGTATAGGAATGCTTCTTGTTTTTTTGTAAGTTTCCTATCATGAAATCTTTCACCTCAGAATTCTTTTTGCTATGGTCTGTTACAACCTACTTTAGGATCAGGTTAGAGGATCTTTGTTTTAAAGACTCTGTGAAGTCAAGGTATTTGTGACATTCACTTTGGGGTACTAAGCTACTGATTATAAACAATAAAATCAGTTAATCTCCATCATTAATATTGAGCCATTTGAGTTACATGTGACTGTGACTCTTGGAATCCCTGATCCTGTAGTTTCAACTCTTGTTACACATTAGGGATCCATGGAGAAGTTAATGGATCTAAAACCAACAGTTCTCTAACTCACCCATGATTATTCTCACTACACTATAATGTAGACATACCTTACTTTCCCTCATTCTTAGTAGGTGTCAGAGAATGTCAGGGCAAAAACATGTGGACATTTTTATTGCTGCCTTCAGGAAACAGTTCTCTCCAACTTGCGAATGCACTTTTCTTGATCCCATAGCTTTTTTAAAAAAAAAAAATTATTTATTTGAGAGGTAGAGTCACAGACAGAGGAAGTAACAGAGAAGAAGGTCTTCCATCTGCTGGTTCATTCTCCAAATGGCTGCAACGGCTGGGGCTAGGCCAATCTGAAGCCAGGAACCTGGAGCTTCTTCCGGGTCTCCCACAGAGGTGCAGGGGCCCAAGCACTTGGGCCATCTTCTACTACGTTCCCAGGGCTGAATTGATAGTGGAACAGCCAGGACACAAACCTGTGCACATATGGGATGCCAACACCACAGGCGGAAGCTTAGCCTTACACCACAGAGCCAGCCCCAGATCCAGTAGCTCTTTGTAGCAACTTCCTGTTTTCTTTGACCCCATTCATTCCATGTACAAAGCCAATATAATTTCTCTCATATATCATGCTTGAGGACATTGTTCAACACTCCCAGGAGCACTTCTTTCTCACTGCTCTTACACTGTACAGTTTCTTTTTATTTGAAAGTTGTAGTGACAGGAGAGATCTTCATCTGCTAGTTCCCTTCCCAAATGGCTACAATAACCAGGGCAGGACCCTTCTGAGGTGCATTAGCAGGAAACGGGATCAGAAGTGGATCAGCTGAGACTCAAATTGGCACTCCAGTATGTGATGCCTGCATCACAAGTGGCTACAACACTGACCCCACACAGATTTTTTTCTTCAGAAGTAAGTGAATACCAAGGTCAGTGTTAAAGGAATCAATGATAAAACTACTACTTCAAACAGTACTTTATACTTTGTGTATCTGTGTGGGTGCAAACTGTTGCAATCTTTACTTAATATATACTAAGTTGATCTTCTGTATATAAAGATAATTGAAAATGAATCTTGATGAAGAATGGGATGGGAGAGGGAGTGGGAGATGGGATGGTGGTGGGTGGGAGGGAGCTTATGGAGGGGAAAAGCCACTATAATCCAAAAGTTGTACTTTGGAAATTTATATTTATTAAATAAAAGTTGGAAAAAAAGTTTCCTCAATGGCTGATGGGCTTAATGGGAAAGCTGTAGCCCAGTGTTGCCTAATGATTAGTGGCCCTTTCATGATCAGTTTTACTCTAGTTACTGGATCATTTCTCTCAGCACACAAATATATTCTATTTTTCCCATTAAAATTCTTGCTCCAAATCCTGTGTGATGTCTCATTTACCAGTCACTGAAATTAAACCCTTTGGGAAGTTATCTGTTTTCCCTGTCTCCAACTCCTTTTCCCCATTCTTTCTTCAGCCCACTCCTATTCTGTGGGGAGCAGCCCGGACTGGACTGAGTTACTGGAATTAAGACTTATTCTATGCATCTGCTCTCCCACAATATGGCGCTGGGAGAGAAGTAAACAGCTTCCACACAGCTGCCTCCAGTTCAACCAATAAACTGTAGGACTTGCTACTGATTGGAGGAGAGCAGCGTACTCGGCGTGTGGGCAGCCGAGTTGGGATTGGCGGAGGAGGACTATAAAGGAGGAGAGAGACGGCATGCACCAGGGAACATCTAAGGGGAACATCTAGCTGAAGGAACACCTGTGCAGCCCCCCAGAGAGCCGGCTGGCGGTGTGCCGCTCCCCTGCGGAAGTGGGGAATGTGGCAGGGGGAACCGACCTTCCACGGAGGTGGAAGGGATAGTAGCCAACCCGGGAAGAACCAGCAGCAAACCCGGGGAGGGCCGAGCAGACGAAAGAACAGCGCAGGGTCCTGTGTTGCTCCTCCACGAAGAGGGGGAGCGACATAATGGGGCCGTGACTCGGATAGGAAACTTAGGAGGGAAGAAATGACTCGGATTAGGAAACCTAGGTCGGATAGCAAACTTAGGAGGGAAGAAACGGGAAGAACTGGGAAAATATCGGAGAGAGAGACTAGCAAACAGCCTAGGGAAAAGCCGGACGAAAAAGGTGCCGGAAGAAGCTATTGAAAGCCTAGGCATAGACTCAGATACGGACTACGGGGGGAAGCTGGGAGAAATCTCTAAGGTCAAAAGCGAAAGTGAAAGCTAGAACAAACAGACTCGGACGCGGACTGTGGGGAGAGGCCAGGAGAAATGAGGGAGGAATATTGTTGGAAGAAAACTTAGGGAAACATACCGGGTAGAGAAAAATGTTAGGGAAATTGAAGCCGCGGGGGGCAGGCCAAGGCGGACACGAAAGCCACTTTGGGGTTCTCAAGTTAGCCCGGGAATAGGGGGCGAAAAGTTGAAACCAGAAGCTGAAACGTAAGCCAGATTGGGGTCCGTCTGATTAGCCCGGGGAGCAAAGGACGGGAAGCCAGATCGTGGGGCGGAAACGTGAGCTGGGTTGAATTCGCCAGGCTAGTCCGGGGAACTTAGATTGAATGCTAGTGGTGGACACGTAAGCTACGCTGTGTGACTCGCGGAGGCTGCCGCGCGCAGACAGAGTGTGCGGGGCTCAAGTACATAGGGAACGCGGGGCTGGCGCGAGGCCGTGGTGCAGACGCGAAGGGCGTGGAGACCGCGGAGCGCGCGAAGCCAAGCCGCGCAAAGCCGAGCTGCGCAGATGAGAGAGGCGCGGGCTGAAGCGGCTCAGCCGGGAAGCCGCCGAGAAGTAGCCTCGGGGCGGGCAGCGGGAAGCTGCGGGGATAAGAGAAACAGAAGTTTAGAAGTAAGATGAGAGAAATAGGAATGCTGGAAGATGGAAGTAAAATGGGAGAAGTAGGAATGCCCGGAGATAGAGAAATAGAGAAATAGAAAGGCCTCCCCTCAACATGGCAATTAGAAGGCTTGGATTTGGTCTGCCTGATTAAGGCGGTAAGCGCCAGCAAGCGGCTCGACCAGAGTGTGAGCCGCAGGTCACCGAACACAGGCACGCATCAGCGCCTAAAAACCTCCTCACAACATGGCGAAGAGAGGACCCGGATTCGGTTTGCCTGATTGATAGGACTTGTAAAAACCTGTGGCAACTCTAGCAAGTAGAGCAGAGTGTGTGCCGCGGGACACCGAAGACAGGCGCGTATCAACGCCAAAAAATAAAAAGAAAGGGGGATCTGTGGGGAGCAGCCCGGACTGGACTGAGTTACTGGAATTAAGACTTATTCTATGCATCTGCTCTCCCACAATATGGCGCTGGGAGAGAAGTAAACAGCTTCCACACAGCTGCCTCCAGTTCAACCAATAAACTGTAGGACTTGCTACTGATTGGAGGAGAGCAGCGTACTCGGCATGTGGGCAGCCGAGTTGGGATTGGCGGAGGAGGACTATAAAGGAGGAGAGAGACGGCATGCACCGGGAACATCTAAGGGGAACATCTAGCTGAAGGAACACCTGTGCAGCCCCCCAGAGAGCCGGCTGGCGGTGTGCCGCTCCCCTGCGGAAGTGGGGAATGTGGCAGGGGGAACTGCCCTTCCACAGAGGTGGAAGGGATAGTAGCCAACCCGGGAAGAACCAGCAGCAAACCCGGGGAGGGCCGAGCAGACGAAAGAACAGCGCAGGGTCCTGTGTTGCTCCTCCACGAAGAGGGGGAGCGACACTATTCAGGTGTTAACACCGAAACTCCAGCACTACCTCTGTACTACTGCAGTAGTCAGTTGCTAGACTTGAACCTTCTTTTGCAATCAGCAGCATTTGACATACTGGATCCTTCTCTCCTTCTGGAGGAACTTTGTTCGCTTGACTCCACACTGTTGATTTTCCTTCTGGCTCAAAGGTTCTTCCTTTGGCTGGTTCCTGGCCTTCTTTCTTTCTTTCTTTCTTTTTTTTTTTCTTCTTTTTTAAAGATTTATTTATTTGAAAGGCAGAGTTACAGAGAGGCAGAGAAAGAGAGAGAGCGGTCTTCCATCTGCTGGTTCACTCCCCAAATGGCTACAACGGCTAGAGCTGAGCCAATCAGGAGCCAAGAGCTTCTTCCGGGTCTCCCACGTGGCTGCAGGGGCACAAGGACTTGGGCCATCTAATACTGCTTTCCCAGGCCATAGCATTGAGTTGGATCAGAAGTGGAGCAGCCAGGACTTGAACCGGCGCCCATGTGGGATGCCAGCACTGCAGGCAGTAGCTTTACCCTCTACACCACAGCACTGGCCCCCTTCCTATTTCTTGAACATTGCCCAGAAGCTTGATAGTTGGACATCTCCAGTGTAACTCACTTCTTGGTGATCACTTCTTCCCTACACCTGCTATCCCCACATGGCCATATCAATTGCTGGCAGTCGCATTCTTACAGTTCCTCAGACCAAAACTTGACGTCATCCTTGACTCTTCAAAATTCACATTGAAACCAGGAAATTTATTCATTCTACCGTCAGAGCATACCAAGAAACTATTTGTCAGCTTAGCTGACTGCCTCCACCATAGTCAGCCACCTGCATCTCTCATGTGGATCTTATTATTATTATTATTATTATTTTGACAGGCAGAGTGGACAGTGAGAGAGAGAGAAAGGTCTTCCTTTTCCATTGGTTCGCCCCCACAATGGCCACTGTGGCCGGCGCTCTGCGGCCAGCACACTGCACTGATCCAAAGCCAGGAGCCAGATGCTTCTCCTGGTCTCCCATGCGGGTGCAGGGCCCACAGACTTGGGCCATCCTCCACTGCACTCCCGGGCCACAGCAGAGCTGGACTGGAAGAGGAGCAACCAGGACAGACTCCGGCGCCCCGACTGGGACTAGAACCCGGAGTGCCGGTGCCGCAGGTGGAGGATTAGCCCATTGAGCCACGGCACCGGCCATGTGAATCTTCTAACAGGTCTTCCT